AGAAAGAGAACAAGAAGATAGATACGAGTCGTTATTCTTGATGTAGTTAATTCGTATGAATCATGACGTATTTTAGAAGTCTTGAATAAATTAAATTCAATCATCTTTATTCGTATCCATGAGCATAGGATATGAACACGTTCAGTGAGAGACCTATCTACGCGAAAAAAAATGAGAATTATGTTAATATACAGTATGGGTGAGGTGGGTGTGTGGATGTGGTTGTGGCTGTGGGTATGAATTTGGATCTTTCCTTCAATAACAACTACACACACCCATACTCACACCCACAGCCAATCTTCTGGTGAAAAGATAACATCAATCGACATTAGAAAAGTCGAGAAAAATGAAAAACACTAACAGTATAATTATTTATGGGACATCCGTTATATAAAAATCATTGGAAAAGAAGGAAAATGTAATAATACGAAAGAAGAAACACGAATGAGAGAAAATGAATTAGTACATGACTGTGTAGTAGTGAGACTTACTTGTATTAACATTTGTCGGATGTCTCGGTCGATTGGTACGTGTACGCCACCAACCAATTGTATGTGACACGAGAAGACGAAGAGCAATAGTGAGTCCACCGTAGAGACCGAACAATTTCGTTATTATGTACAATACATTATTATGGCGTGTGAAAGTGTACGTACATGAAATGGGCTCACATTGTGCATAATATGATGAAAATGATCTTATTGTTGTCCAATCTTCGACAAATAATTCATTGACTAATCTCTCGATAGAATCTTGTGGATGAAATCGTGTTTGATTGTGATTTAAACTATGAAAAGTGCTATTGATGGATAAAGAAAAGAATTGTAGCACTGTATTTAAACAAGATGAATCAAAGAAACATTCGAGTGTTGATCGAAGAACTGATTCAATAGGATAGCATCCAGCTACGAAACCGGTCACATTAGCCATGGGTCGTATAGTCCCTCTATATACGCCATAAGTAGGAACGGCATAAGCAGTAGGAAGATAGAAAGTAGAGGGCAAGAAGCATGTTGCTCCAAGATTACAATAACAATACATTCTTCTAATATCAAGAAAAGCCGGACCCCATGAAAATACCGATGCTGTATTATTAACATTGAGTTCGAATAAATATGATCGAGATGTTTGTAATGCAGTCTGTAATCGATTACTGTAAGTAGTCGAACGTAGGAGACGAAGTAGATTTTGGAAAACATTTGCTGTTGATATTTGTACAAACAAACTTTGTGCTCGAATTTGTTCATCGAATTGTAAACGTGAGAAAACATCTGGTGTTAGAAAATTAGCCGAAAGAAAGTCATCAATAGCATCCGATACTGATGTCAAAGCAAGTGAACAAAGCGATGCAAGTAGTTGAAATTGACCTGTAGCTGATGATCGAAAATCAATTGGATAAAAAAAGCTTATATTTGTATTGAAAAGAATATTAATCCATCTATCAGATATGAATAAACTAGAACAAATAGGATGATATCGAACTGATATGGATATGAATGATTGATAATGCATTGAAATATGTTTGCAAGGACATTGAATTGTTGT